TACACTTTCACGGGTTTATTACGAATCAACTTAACGGCCTGCTCCCAGTTGGCTTGTTAGCTCAATTGGTAGAGCGCTGCACTAGTATCGCAGAGGTCAGTGGTTCGAATCCCGTACAGGCCTGATTTTTTTCAGGTCTGATTTTCGCTATTGCTTAAATAATGCTATCTACTGCGAGAATCGTACATCATATGTATCTAATACCGCAGTTCAAAATATATGAACTTCATATATTTCATTGTATCTCATTTATCACTTTCACGGGTTTATTACGAATCAACTTAATGGCCACAATGTGCAATAACCACATAGTCTTGTACTGCAATATGACTTGCATCTGTGGGTCAGTTTCATTGAACTACTTCTAGCCTGACAGTGCCTAACTTAGCACCTGCACCTGGGGTAATTCCACCGTTAGAGGGCTGCCATAGATACCACCCTGGTTTGTATGACATCCCCCAGCCTGACCCAAATTTTAAGTCATAAGGGGACTGAAGGATAAACTTAGCCATTGACCTCTTGTATGCCATTTCATCCTTGGTAGCAACATACCTAAACTTTTTTTGTCCTCCCTCAGCATTCAAGCCAGTGAAGTGTGTAATCAATGACTGCTCCAATAAAAGAAACATTTTCACCACAAGTTCATCCATCTCCTCAATTGTTTTGCTAGTTTTGTCTTCACCAAAGTTTTCAACCAAGTACCGATAGAACATTTCAAACTTCCAATTACTACCAGAGCCATCCTACAACAGCAAGATACTACATTAATTAGAGGGAACTTTATGAGGTGTTATGAGTAGTTTAAAAAGAAGGGGTCATAAATGGAACAATATAATAAACGCTGAGATTGGGTATTGAAGAAATTCGATAGGAAGCCTGTAATCTCAGCTACAATGCTGTTTGTTTGATGTGAAGAGCCTAAAGTTCAACTTCATACTAGGTGACATTTTCATGACAATTAATCACAAACAACTGAGGAGACCACACAATAATCAAGAAATTAATTGCAAGCTAAGCATGAGGTGTTTATGAGCTAAAATGAAGTATAAAGCAGTATTCCTTTTTAATTCATAGGAATAATGGATTGCATTATACACAGTCTCTGTTACATCTCAGACCAAAAAGCCCTGCTCATGTGGGATATATAAGCTAAAATGTTCCTCATTTGTTTTTCCTGCTATAAGTACTTGAAGTAATCAGTATACCACCAGGTTACCTTCTCTCTTGCCACTAGGTGAAAGTGTCCTTAGCTGTGTCTGTAAATCCTGATAGCAGATACTGAGGCTACCAAAACATACATCTGAGCTATAACAGCCTTGTCTTCAATTAAAAGAACATCAGCTGGAAATAGCTGCATGACACCCTCTGAGTACTCAATTCTACAAGAGAAAAATGATAAATTAAAATAACTTGAATAAAGAAAGGTGACTGTACGAGAATTAAAATAATACAATTGTACATATCATGTAAAATATTTGCTGCATTCACAATGTAATATATTTGTTGCATAAGAAGATATCTTGAATCCTACTTAATAGACTTGATGGTGTTGTTCAAAGCGAAGACTTCCAAACAGGCTTTATCAAGACAAGGAAACAATTCAGCAAATCTCAGCCTGGGCTGAAAATTTTTCTTACTTGTCCCTAACACTTCATATGTGCCAAGTAAATGTCCCCCCTGCTTAAGTTCAACATGTTAACTGCTCCTAACCCCCCTTCCCTCAACAAAATTATAAAGCCATTTACCTTTTCTTGTCACTGAGACTCTTCATAGCTCCCCAGTTATGAGGTGATGTAGAAATTGTTCCAAGAGACTTCAAAGTAAAATATTGACTCTTTTTTGTGTTAATATCTTGAACCAGAGACACATTGATTTGTGCTGGTAACACAATGCATGGAGGTGATAGAGGTCTGTTTTCAAAAGCTATAAAAAATAAAGCAATTAGCTTAGATAGTTCTTTTCTCCTTAATTTAATGCTTTAAAAAAAAATCTGCAATTTACGCAAATTAATATGAAATATTCCAGTACTACAGGTTTTTGTTTTAATAATTGTTTATATTCTGGAGCCTTGTGAATTTTCTAAAAGTACCTGAGACGAACTTCAATGTTGACATCAAGTAACAAAAACCATCATTCCTTAAAAGTAATTTTTCAAAGCCAGGAACTAAAGACACCTGCAATTAAAGAAAAATTTACAGATACCATCAACCAAAAATTTAGATTAAAAAAAAAAACTTTCAGCACAGCTGAAAAATCCAGACTAACTCACATTCAAAATATTTAAGATTGCTTGGATGGAAGATCAATTTGAGATCCAGCTAACACAAAAGCACCTAAGCTCTTGTTAATCATTGGTTTCTGAGTTCTGAACTTGACAAAATTAATCTGGCAGATCTACAGCTTGGTTTTCTACATGCAAATATCTGCACAAAGTCTCAGGTTAGGAATTTCCAAAAAATCTCAAATTCTAGTGAAGGATCAGATGTAATCTGATCTCTGATTTGTTAATAACAACACCTCTTACCCTCTGATTCTTTTGGAGCAAGACAAGATCACTGCTTTTAAAACAAGCTGATTTCTTTTTGCCAAAACACCAATTAATTCCTTGCCATCTCTTTTCCATGTAAGGAAGTATTTCTGCATCTTTCAACAAAACAACTCTGTAGCCAAGACTCTCAAGGGCATGCTTGAATGGTTCCAAAAGATCCTTTGCATTTGATTGGGAGTGGTTGGCCAGCAAAACATCCAACTGCCCTTGCGTCATTTTCTCCTCTGACTGTAAGAGCAAAAAAAAAAAATAAGTTTAATTCAAAAAAAAACTTTTCAGAGTGAGAGTAAGAGCTGGCATTCTGTTTTGAAATGGAAGAAAATAGCATGAACATGGAAATAATAATGACACTTAGTATTTGCCAACTCCCTCAGTTTCACTCAGCTGGCAGCTGGATTCTTTTATACCAAACTGAATTAAATGGACAGTAGGAAAAAAACTAACAGCTTGCCTTAGTTGTCTTCAAAAATTAAGCTCAGCCTCACTGCACATAAAAACAAATTAACTTTTTCAAAGATTATTGTTTGACTTGAGATTTTCATCAACTGATGATCTCACAGGATTAGATTGACTTGCTGGTCAGATAATGCATCTAAATACAGGTATAAATATGCAATCGACATTTTAAATCCTTTGTAAAAAACTTTTTCGGTCTCAATGGAAATGCAATCTTTTCAACAAAGAGTAAAACAGCCGAATAAATATTTGCAATGGGGAAAGAATGCTCTACAGGATTCGTCTCAACAGATGAAAACTTCTTTCTCATATGTTATCACAGACATGGATATCCGAATGAATAAAAAGCGACTGATCCTCTCTTTCCAGTCTCAGTTCTAATAAAATCTAGACTTCCTATTATGATAAATAGAAGTGCAGGCTAATACTGACACTTGTCAGCAATAAAATTAGTACTTTACTCTCAGTGTAGTGGGTTATATACAGCAACTACAATGTTCAGGTTTTTTTGTCATTTTTAGTCATTACAATTCATTACCCTCTTTCTATACCAAGTACAAATTAAGGTATGCTAAAAAATTAATCTTAATTCAAAATAGAATTCCAACCTAAGATTTTTTTAATTCCTCTTTAGTAATTCAGAATGTAATTTAAAAAGGAACCTTAATTCAAAAGAGAGAAGCAGAAAAGAAGGTAGGTACATAATTAATACCATCATCAACCTTTTATAACTTAAAAATTATCAATCTCTAGCGAGTATTGGAATTTTATCTGTCCTGTCAAATTTCAGCTGCTCTTAAAATGAAAATTCACATGAAATTTTAAAGAGGTATTAGTGGAGATCATTGAAAATGTCAGAGAGATCTCAATTGTAATCACACTGCAAAGTTCTACTCTTATGTACTGGGAATGAAAGGTAAGCTGCAAAACAGGAAAAACAAAGGAGGAAAACGAACTCAAATAGTTTTAAAAATTCAGGAAAAGTCAGATTATCTCATAGAATTAAGCCAGTTTAAATCTCAGGTAATTAATGCAGTTACTTCATAAGAAATAGTATTCCGTAAAATGCCGCTCAATTATTCAACAACCTTTTTCACCCAAACTGTCATTTTGTGCTTTAATTGTTTCACTGTGAATCAAATTCTACAATATTGAGAGACACTTGAAGGGTATTCCCCGGGAACAAAAGAACACGACAGCACTGTCGTGGATATGAACAAAGAGAATATCATCACAATACCGCTGGGATAATTCAGTGCCAGTACAACAACAATTAGTGAGTCAAAATAAGTAAGGCCTTTGCATGAATGGATTTATGAATGGTTTTCTACGTAATAGTGGTTGATTAAAAATTCACAGCTCACAAAAGACAAAACACATGGAAAGAACCGAAAAGTCCAAACACTCCGATGTGAAATTCAGATTCTCGTATTTTGGTAGTTTATTCATCTTAAAGTTAAAAAGACATACCTCTTCGAGCCTTTGAAGCAATCCTGTTTCCCTTATCTTATTGGTTACCATTTCCTCTGTTGTAATACTATATCGTAATTTTTGTGGAGGAGTAAGGAGTACTGCGCTGTCACTATCCGTTCTCGTAAACCTATTTTCTCGAATACTAGTTCCCTTTCCTCGCAAAACTTCATTCAGCTTCACCTTTTCTTGTGCATTTTTTGTCTCCCTAGAGTATGAACCGTCGTGAAGAAAATCAGGGTCATGTTGAAGCCAAGTTTCAATCCAGTAAGTCGATAACACCGACACTAATATAATCAAACCCAACAAGAGGACAACACGTTTTCGCCTGCAAAGCTGCATTAATCGCATAATTTTTTGGCCGCAATGTAAAGACTATTAGAACTGCAGCACTGTGCTCGCCATCTCGAGAACAAATCGTCTCCTTCCTCGAACCCATTAGAGAAAATGAGAGGAAACTCCAACGGTGACTTGCAGTGTCATTTTCCAACCCAGAGAAACTGCTGTGTGCGTTCTGGTCCTTTTAACACCAATGTAAATCCACCTACAGCGGCCCTACACCTCAACAATTGTAAGCTTCTGACGTTTATGTAGCTTTACATAAAAAGATATTTAAAACTCCCTGTCGGTCAATCAAAATATGCAATGATAACAAAAGGTTCAAGTACCTTGTCGATCTAAAATGCCACGCGCAAACCACTAGTATCCAGTCCTTCACTCCCTGACACATGAGAGGGGACCGATAAACAACAAACCGCGGCGGGGCTCCACTGTGCAAGTATAAACGCTTAGAAAATCCTTATCTTTTGACAGATATTTTTGCCGTTTATGCGTTGAGGAAATAGGTATACCATATAAGAACTTTTGGTGTGTAATATCGCTGAGAATGTTTACGAGTTGTGTGTGTCGTATTTTGACGAGCCCGCTAGGGTTCTATTTAAGAGGGAAAGGCGATCAAGATTGAACTCAATTCCAAAAACATTTTCGGCCAATATTGTGCAGTCTAATGTGGCGCTCTGGCATATTTTGTTAAAGGTAGAGACGGCTTTTTTCACCTAGGTGTATTTTCCTCAGGTTTGCGATTTTAAATTATCGCCAGCTGATGTATTGGTTTGGGAATTTGGTCGCCGGTTTGGTAAGTGGAGAGGAGCAAAAGACAAGACGAGCGCTGAACGATAATCGAAGTTATCAGGGAAACGGCAGACTGACCCTGTCATACTTAAAACTCGAGCAGGAATGAAACCCACTTGAAAATTCATTTTCCAAAGAAGTTCGCTAGGAATTCTCCCCAGTCGAAAGTCAACAAACGGAAGAAACAACAAACATATGAAATACATATATATGAACTGCGGTCATGAAACGTATATGTGCACGATCCTTCGCAGTACGTTAATAAGCCCTAGGTGAAGCCTTAAAGAAAAAAATAAATCAAATTGTCGCAATAAGATCCTGACCTCTTAAAATAATCTAAGAAATGTTGAATCTTCCACCGCAAATTAAAATTACTTTTTCTGCGTAGTGTCGGAAAGAAGAAAAGAAAACAATGCTAAACCAAAATGCACTTAAAATTTTCCACCTGAATAAACAGAGCTTGATTGGCCCGAGTCTGTGACGTCAAGCACGCTTAGATCAAAATGACATCGCTCGATTTCACGCATCGGCGACGATAGCAGAAAAAAAAAAACTCTCAATGCAGTCACGGCTCGTCGATTCCACTTCGAGATCAAACGACTGAATCATGGAAATTTATGAAGCAAAGTATGACTTCTGTGATGGTTGTGGCGAAAGCTTGCTTAATTTTAAGAAAGGGGAGAAATTTTTAGTCACAAACAAACCTGATGGAGGATGGTGGGCCGCTCAGAATTTGTCTAGTAACGAAATAGGATACATCCCTTCAGCGTACGTTGAGGTAAAAGACGTCAATTTTTTTTGTTTTCCTTTTTATCTATATCTGTGAATCTTCTTGAAACGTTTGCCTTCTCTGCAAGAAATTCTGGTTTGTTTGAAGAGTAAATTAAAGATAAGCCCTACGATGTTTTTCGCGGTTGTTGTAACACAAACATTGGGAAGCTTCCAACTCAGAGGCGAAGATCGCAATGCCCAGTTGCATTTTCCCTTAGCTGGAATTCTTCTACATCCCAGGTAGCTATCGAGATATATATCTCTTTATTAGTACCGTGATCTAGTCCATGATCAGAGATCTTGCACTTAAACGGTAAAGAACCACAAACTATTCGCTATTAACATAAAAACAACCGTAGTTGTGCAGTACGCGAGCGGAAACGTGGGAATCGAGAGTTCTCCTATCATAACGCAGGGGTAATCATGATATCGTTAAAATTGCTTCCGCCTAAATGAATGCTCTAAACTTTTCACCTTTTTTCAGCTTCGCTTGAGGCATTCGTGTCTTCAAATCAAAACCGAAAAATTTTGGATCGTTCTGAAACGTAAATGCTACCGTATGGTATATTGGCTTGGCGAGTAACCCCGGATGATTAACCCCATAATTTTCATCTATACGGCTCGATGGTCTGCTTTCACAAAGAAAACATTGCAATCTTTCCATTATACAGTTGAGGTGTGCCAGGAGCTCATCACTTGGACCAAGTGACGGGCTCCTGCGCGTGCTTGTAATAATTTAGCAGTATGATAACAAATACAACGTTGGTAGATTGGCGTAATCGATCGTAAGAAGGGAGATAACATTGACACACCTGAGGGAAGCTTTGTGAGCGAAAGGGGCTTCGACATGCAAGTATGTCAGTGTAATTAGTTGTGCTGCACTGATCTCCGGTACAACTCTAATTCAAGGTACATCAACACATACGGTACTTGAAATCTTACTAGATGAAGGTACCTTTTTACGCGTGCATTTAATTCGAATGTTACTCGCTCTAGCTATTGTTCTGGAAGCGATCGCGCTATTTACACTGATGATTGCGCGCGTGTTTGTATTTGGAATTAAATCTGAGCGGCAACAATTGCTTTTTAATCTGACTGAAATTTCTCCCTTCGCTAGCCTCCCACGAAAGCGCTGTTGTCTTGAGTGAACGAAACAAAGAGTTTTCTTTTTTTTGATACAGTATATTGTAATAATAAACTGGTAAGTTTCCTGTGGAAATATTAGATCACTTAACAGTCAAGTATTCTTTGGTGATTATCGCTTATTTCCGCAGGATCATGTGGATATTGCTCTGCTTATTGGACGTTTGCAACCGTTGAATTATTATTTTTTCTAGATAATTTCCTTCCAAGATATTGCTTACAAGTTTACAAAATTTTTCAAAAATACATTAAAGCCGATTCTAACTGCTTGGCTAGGAAAGTTTTTCACGATTTTGGATATTAGCTTCATTTTCATCGACATTTACAACTAAACTCGGGCAAATCGGTCTACACGGCTAAATTGAGTGTAGCATTTACACACATTTGACCGGAAATTTTCCCGAAACTTGGAATTTATCTTCTTTTTGGGAACTACAAGGCCACACCTGCTTTGATTGTATGGATGAGGAAACAGTGAGTCGTGAGAAAAATTAACCTTTTCTTCTCTAATCAGGTATTGCGATTGCGGCACGCTTTGATTCCCGGTTGGGTTTTTCGCGGAGTGTTTATTTTTGTTCGTTCTAATACTTGGATCATTGCCATATTTTTGTCCATTCGTCTGTTTATTTGCACAACGAGGTCTTCACCAAATTAGGAATCGTGCCCAGTGCTTCTCGCTGGACTGCATCTGAAGTATTCACATTTCATTTGACACTGTTACGTCCGTGGTTGCTCAATCGCTGGAGGAAAAGTTCTTTCGTAAAAGTTTGACCAATTTCTAGTTCGCGCCCACAACCAAGAGTTTGAGTAATTTTTCAAGGTTAGTATTGCAATGCTTGTCGCACTGACTTATTTTTGTGTCTACTCGATGTCATCTTTAAAATTAGCTAGAAGAGCGAAGACCTATTTGTTTACAAGTGTTTAGAAGGTACCCATCGCATGATTCTTCTGCTCCTTTTACTTCCCGATAAGCGTTAGGAAAGGGGTTTATCTCTTGTTATTTAGCATAACGGGAAGTATTATGGTTCTGCATCAAACTGATATTTATCATGCTAGCATATTGCTCTTTTAAACGTTGTACTTTCGTTCAAAGTTGTGAGAAGAAATTTATGTCACGAACTATATGTGTTTCTAGCGAGGCGTTGTTCTATAGACGCCTTATTTTTCTTGGCAATTTCTATTTTCAAAATAATTTTCTTGATATTATTTCTCCACCTTCCGCGGTAAGATTTACTGGGTAGAAACTTTGGTTGCAAGTTTCAGCGAGTTTGGAAAAACAATTTTTGCAAACTTGAATTTTCGCTCTCTGTGCAATAGTTACGGATTACACAACGCGTAAATTTCGCTTTCATGGGAAAGTTTTTAGAATGGTTAAAAAATCTTGAGCCACATCACTATCACTTTGCTACTCAAACTTTCGAATGATAATATTCCTATAATAGCGCCTTTGTTTTCGAGATGCGTTGCTGTTGTTCTTAATTTGCGGTCGCGGATTTGAAATTCAAATTTCCGATGAGTGCATGACAGCTAACTACAAGATTAGACCAAAGATAAAGCTTTAGATATTATTGATCACCGTTTTACTCCGGTCATTCTCAAGCGCCATAGTGCCTTTGGGCGTAGTACTCTAAAATTATCATAAAATGCGTCAAAAGTGCTTCAGTTTCGAGGTCTTGACGAAGCAGTCCCAATGTACACAAGAGTTGCCTATTCAGAAAGTCATCATACGGCGATCACAACATGGTTTCTGCCATACTTTGTCAGCTGTTCGCTTTTTTCAGCTGCACTGAATAGAAACCAATCTGTAAGCCACAAGGGTGCGCAATTTTCTTTGACCATCCGTATTCAGTTGTTTTTCTTGCTGCCGGTTTTTTTTAAGAGTAACAGAATTTTTAAGTATTCAAACCATTTAAAAGATAAACAATATCTTTATAACCTAAACATTTGTATTAAATAATGAACCCTATCGGCTGATATTTTTATTTAGAGAGACACAGGGTTAAATGATCATTTTTAAGTGCACATAAGTGACTCAGAGCCCTAGCTTTACCTAATTTTTTTAACAAAAAGGGATTAAGTTTACTATTGTGGTTGTTTCCTTACTTTATGTTCATTGCAGGTGCAAGTGAATTGGTCATGCCTCACTGCAACTTTTTTCACAACATTGTGCATCATCAAATGAACATCTTTAAGACATACGGCCAATCTCAAGTTTTTTGAATTTATTTCCAATATATGCATGTATGTCACTAGCAATTTTTGGTTTAAATTGTTCAAAAACTTGTTGTTAATATCCCACACTCTTCATTATCTGTGCCATTTTTCATCATTCCCCCAAAAAAGAATTTACCTAATCAAAGTGTGATTCAATTTATTCTCCATGGTTTTCAGTTTCCATAATATGTAATATTCTTTTCAATTAGGTCATACCCAAATCTCTTAAAACTGACATTTTCCTTTTAAGCACATAAGTACTGTCAACCACAAAGTAGTTGACTTCCCTTCAAAGTAAGCACTTATATCGTCCCTGTTCCAACCCCAAGTCCTTGTTAAGGTAGATGTAGACTGGAAAAGTAGTTAAACATGCTTAATTTGTAGTAGTAGTAGTAGTAGTAGTAGTAGTCTTTATTTCCTCACAAGATAAAAAATACATATCTTATGTTACAATATTTGAGTAAAAAGTATATATATCTAAATTATAAGCTCACATAGCTGTTTTCGATTTGCTAATGTTGAGTCCCACTTTCTCAGCTGCTTCTGTCAGCTTATCTGTCTTCTTTTGCATCTGTCCGTGATTGGTTGAGACCAGAGCGATATCATTCGCGTAGTCTAGGTCTTCTAGCTGACTGGTGAATTTGCATCTGATGCCTGTCTTTGCTAGATTGGTTGTCTCTTGCATTATTCAGTCGATGGCAAGAGGAATTAGAAGCCTGACATTAGAAAACCTTGCTTGACGCCCGTTTTTACTTGGAACCATTCGGATACTTGACCTCCATCAAGGACTGCAGATTACCTTAGAA